TTAAAAGTAAATTTAAATATTTATCATCTAAAATTGTGGATTGGTATTATATGTTATTCATTTGTTTGAGTAACTATTTTCTCTTAAGAGACTTTAAAAAAAAAATTATTTTTTTTTAAGAAATAGGGCCTTGCTCTGTCACCCAGGCCAGATTGTAGTGGTGCGATCATAGTTCTCTGCAACCTTGACCTCCTGGGGCAAGTGATCCTTCCACCTCAGTCTCTCTAGTAGCTGGGACTGTAGGTATGTACCATTACTCCTGGGTAATTCAACAGTAACAACAGCAACAACAAAAATAGACAGGGTCTTGCCATATTGCCCAGGCTGGTCTAGAGCTCTTGGGCTTCAAGCAGTCCTCTCACCCGGGCCTCCGAAAGTGCTGGGATTACAGGCATGAGCCACCAGGCCTGGCGTCTTAAGAGATTTTTTAAAAATTGTAATTGTTACAGATTGGTCTTTTACTTACATACCCAAAAGTTTTCCTAGGGTTGTCATTTGGTGAGTTCTAGAAAACTTTGTTATGGCTATTCGTATGGTTTTTTTTTTTTTTTTTTTTTTTGATCTGGCTTGAAACATGCTTGAAAATAATTTCTAGTGTTTCTGGAAGTTAATAGTCGGAATAAAGATGAGGAATGAAGAATATTTAATTGAATTTTCCAACTTGTTTGCTCTTTAGATTTTTGTATGTTTTTTTTTTTAAGATGTATTATTTTAGGACAAGTCATTAATCACATGTACATGGTAATTTCTTTGTTCTTTTTTGTTTTTTAAACTTTAAGTTTTTTTTGTGGATATTTGTCACTTATTCTAATTTAGTAACAGTAGGGAGGAATATAATACTATGTAAAAATTTCCTTATATCAAATTTCCTTCTTTTTTGTCTTTGGGTATGTGCTGAGTGTATTGTACTATGCAAACCTTTGTACACTATTTGAAATACAAAGAGGAAGGGTGGGTTTTGTGTGCAATTTGTTCACTATCTTAAGAATGACTAGATTTACTTATCTCTATTGAAAAACATATAAGAAATGCTGCTTATCAGTTCTGTATTTAACAAGCTTGAGAAAATAAATGACAGAAATTCTAATATATAATTCAAAGGACTTTAGGATGATAATTGTGATTTTTATTAGCAGTATTTTGACTAATGGATCTGGTACCTAACTTTAGAGGATTTAAATAATGAAATGTTATTAGTTAATGACATTAAGCAATGCTAATCAGTTTTGCATTTCTCAAAAGGCTTTACATAAATTATTCCCAGAACTAAAGAATAAATGTTTAGTTCTGGGAATAATTTATGTTAAAGCCTTTTGGTTTATGGTAAGAAATACTTAGCCCTGGGAATAAAAAGTAAATACATACATTTGCTTTTTCCTGATACGTGTGTGTGTGTGTGTGTGTGTGTGTGTGTGTGTGTGTGTGTGTATAAAATCAGGAAATAAGAGGTGAAACCATTAAAGTATTTTTATATTACTTATTTGACAGTAAATATTGTAATTATTTTTACCTTATACTGAAATATATTTTTATTAATTTTTGTATGACTTTTTATGTTTTGTCATCTGCTATAATAAAGGTTGATGCTCAATGTTATACTACAATCAGTGGTATAATATAGATAAAGTTAATTTGAAACTCAGTTAGATGCCATTGTGATGTCTATCTATGTTGTGTTGACCAAAATTAAAAGCAAACGTTCCCGTAGTCAGTGCCCATACAACTTTATGCCTATTTGGAATTTGTGTACATTGTTTATTGTTTTGAAGTGATTTTTTTATTATCAAAAGAATGCATATTTATTAAAGCAGAGTAGTAGAAAATCCTTTATAATATTGCCACTCATGTTTTTGTGTGTCATAATTTAAAAAATTATGGATTTAGAGATTTTTAAGCTTGATTTTCAGCTATCCTTTTTGTTTAAATACTGATTGTTTTTTTAAAAAAGTTACTAACAACTAGTAAACTCATTAAAAAATACCAGCACCCTCAAGCAGAACCAAGTTAAGTAAAACTTTTTTTTTTTTTAGGTAAGGATTAGGTACTTAGAGTTTGTTGTACTTCATTATAAATAATGTACTTTACTTTCTTTTACCTGTTTTCAATCGAGATTTCCTAAATGCTTTTAATTCGTTGTCTTGTTTGTTGCAAGTATTTACTGCCTGTTTCTAGTTTAGTTACTTTGAAACTTTGACGATTTTACTTTAGGTTTAGAAATTTCTCCTCTCTACAGTTTTGTTACTCACTCTGTCATAATCCTTTCAAGCTGCTATGACAAAATACTTTAGACTGGGTAATTTATGAACAGCAGAAATTTATTGCTCACAGTCTGGGAAGTCCAGGACCTAGTCACTGGCAAATTTGGTGTCTAGTGAGGAGAGTTCAAAGATGGTGCCTTCTTGGTGCATGGAAAGCTGGGCTTGGTGGCTCACACCTGTAATCCTAGCTCTTTGGGAGGCTGAAATGGGTGGATTGCCTGAGTCTAGGATTTTGAGACCAGCTAGGGCAACGTGGAGAAACCCTGTCTACAAAAATACAACAGATTAGCTGAGTGGGTGTGGTAGTGTGCACTTGTAGTCCCAGCTACTCAGGAGGTGAAGGTTGCAGTGAGCTGAGATTGCGTCACTGCACCCAGCCTCGGTGACAGAGCCAGACGTTTTCTCAAAAAGAAAAAAAAGAAAAAAGAAACCCAAGCAAAAATCCCAAAAAGCCCAAAGATGGTGCCTTCTTTGCTGCATGGAAAGGTGGTGAACAAGCTCCTTTGGGCCCCTTTTATAAGATCACTAATCCATTTGTGAGGGTGGAGCCTTCATGACCTAATAACCTCCAAAAGGCCCCACTTTGTAATATTTCTGCATTGCAGATGAGATTTCATTGCAAGAGATTTGGGGGGACACAGACATTCAGACAGTAACAACTGCCATTTCCTTTCCTCTCCCTTTGCCTTCTTGCTACTACCTCCTCCTTTTGGGGTATGTATGTGTATAAGTTCTGTTTTATTCAACTAGAATTCATGGGATGTGGGGATGACATGAAGATCTGTATGTAGCATGTTCCTCTAATTATCTAGGGTTTCAGACCTTGGCAACATTGTGTTGATATTTTGGGCCAATTATTGCTTCTTGTGCAGGGACTGTCGTGTGCATTGGAGGATGCTTCACTGCATCCCTAGCTCTACTCGCTAAATGCCAGGAGCATTCTTCAGCCATCACAACCAAAAAGGTATCAAGACATTGCCAGGTGTCCCCCATGGGGCAAAATCATCCTGGTTGAGTACCATTACTCCTAATATAAAAATCAATTCAGAATTTATTGAATACTCTTTTAGAATCTATATAGATCATGTGTTTTTATTTTGTCTACTTACATGATAAATTAGGCTTTCCCAGGATTAAACCTATCCCATGATAGACTCTGCTTCCTTGTGGTGACTAATTATCCAGTTATTCATTTGAATTCCCTTTATTAACTGATATGGTTTGGCTCTGTGGCCCCACCTAAATCTCATCTCAAATTGTAATCCCCATGTGTCAGGAGGAAGGTCTGGTAGGAGGTACTTGAATCCTGGGAGTGGACTACCCTTTGCTGTTCTAGTGATAGTAAGTTCTCGAGATCTGGTTGTTGGAAAATGTGTGGCACTTCCTCCTTCCCTTGCTTGCTCTTCCACCACCATGTGAAGAAGGTCCTTGTTTCTCCATGCTTGCTTCATCCTTGCTTGCTTTCTGCCATGATTGTAAGTTTCCTGAGGCCTCCCAGTCATGCTTCCTGTTAAGCCTGCAGAACTGTGAGTAAATTAAGCCTCTTTTCCTCAGAAATTACCATCTCAGGTAGTTCTTTAAAGCAGCATGAAAACAGACTAATACATTAGCATTTTATTTAGAACCATATCTATTTGAAAGACTACATTTCTGAGTGTATTTTTTTGGTCTCAGTATCATTCAAATTATTTCATATAATAGTTATATAGTGAAGATCTGTAGGCCTGTTTTGTGTTAACCTTTAAAATAAATAGTTCAAGACCAGCCTGGCCAACATTATGAAACCCCGTCTCTACTAAAAATACAAAAATTAGCCAGGTGTGGTGGCGGTTGCTGGTAATCCCAGCTACTCTGGAGGCTGAGGCAGGAGAATCACTTGAACCTGGGAGGCAAGGGTTGCAGTGAGCCGAGATCGTACCACAGCACTCTAGCCTGGATGACAGAGTGAGACTTCGTTTCAAATATAAATAGTCTATTTTTAGAAACTTTTAGAGGCCATTTTTAGATGACTATCCAGTTTTATTCCTGGATTATTGATCTGTTGATTTAAAAAAAAAAAAAATCTCAGGCCGGGCGTGGTGGCTCACGCCTATAATCCCAGCACTTTGGGAGGCCGAGGCGGGTGGATCACGAGGTCAAAAGATCGAGACCATCCTGGTCAACATGGTGAAACCCCGTCTCTACTAA